GTGATGAACAAGCTGATGTCGATGCATCTTATGGAACTTATGATTTTAGTATAATCATGGATTTAACATTTCCTTGTATTCAAGGAGGCTGTGGTGCACGTTGTACAAATGATCTACAAACTCGATGTAAAGAATTAGAAAGTTCATTGTGGTGCTCCAAAAATCGTGGAGTTAACTATAGAAAATATAAAATGTCTTTATCTAAATATCACTCATTTTGTAGTGGAAGTTTTAATAATAATATAGTAATCAAAAATATAGAGCCACCTGTAATGATAAAAAACCCTGTGTATAGTGGCTATTGTAACAGAGGTTTTTACCTTTTATTATCCAATGATCAACCAGTTTGTTTTTGTCCACCAAGTTATTATGGTGATCAATGTCAATTTAATAGTCGACGAATTACATTACGTATAAAACTCAATCGTCGACATCGAACAGATGTTTCAGCTATTGTCTATATTCTTGCACTATTATTATGTAACAATACAATTATTATTGATCATACGCATTTTATTGACTCAATACAAGATAGTTTAAAGCATGAAAGTTATTTACTCTATTCTCGTATGAAATTAAATTGTATTTATACCGTACAATTCGAAGCGTTTAATAATTATAAATTGCTTACTGTTTGGAAATATAATGTTTCATTTGATTTTTTACCTTCATTTCGTTTAGCAAAGATATTGCATTTTCCAAACATTGATATACGTCTTCCCTATGTTTGTTCAATTAATACTTGTCGAAATAATGGTACTTGCTATATTATTAATAATAATAAGATATTAACATTTTGTTATTGTACAAACGGCTGGTATGGACAATTCTGTGAACAATGGGATAATGATAGTTATTGTTCGCTCGAGAATAGTATATATCGTTTTAAATCATTATGTATATGTAAGGAAGGTTATGTTTCACCTAACTGTTATCTAAAAAATACAATATGTGAATCATTTCCTTGTTTAAATAATGGAACATGCTATTCATATCCAAATGAAAATAATAGCTACAAATGTATTTGTCCAATTGGCTATGATGATGCAAGATGTCAAAATCAGGTACCGTTTTTGAATATATATACACAATCAAACACAACATATATAGGATTTTTTGGAAAGTATATCAATTCATCTTTGCAATAGGTTTCAAAGTTCTTGATTCTGTTCTGCATTGAGTGTCGAAAATCCAGTAAATGTGTTAAAGCT